TTTTAAATTATACCTTGAGAATCCTTAATGATTATCAGACTTCACAAGTTTCAACTTTAAAAAAATTTATTCAACATAGAAATGAACCAATTTTTAAAACACAAATACCATATTGCACACACAATTCTATGTTTTTTATGGATCCTCTGACTGGCAAATAGAGGAAAAGTAGAGTAAGTGTTTGAGTTGGATTGGCCCACCCTTTCTTGTAAAGGGTGTAAAAAATAAATCTGCTTTTCACCAGACATGCAAATGGAATGGTCATACAGTTTAAAATGTTTCTAAGATAAAGAAAATACTGTGATAACTATTGTTGTTGGGTACTTCCAAATCTGTTGTAGCTGTTAGCCTCCCCACAGAATTTCTGTGGCCTGTAGGATGTGCTAGAAAGTCATCTTTATTGGAGTGTATTACCAGGTGTTCTCTTGCAGAGCTGTTGAGTGTGTTCAGACCCCCAGCCCTTTGGTTAGTGTAAGTTGACCTGAGTTATCAGCCGAGGCACCTAATTTTACCACAAAACTGCTTTTAAATGTGCTGAAAAACTCAGCTTTACACGAGTATATATGGTAACTGTGCCACCAGTGATCCTTGTAATAACTATTAGAAATATAAAAGTAAAGAAAAACTTTAAAAGTTTGAATATAAGGTAAAATAAATATATACAAAAATGGACAATTTAATCTATTTTCAGGCATGCCAATAAGATTGTTTTAATTAAAATATGAGCCACATCTGATATTACAGCAATGATACTGTGTTTTCATAGTATATTCTGTTTTTCTAAAATGGCATGTATTGTTTCTATTGGAATATTTTGGAATTTCCCCCCCCAAATCATATAGAGATCTACTTGAACAAAAAGTTATTTAATGATACCAGAAAATGACACAAGATTACCTCTCTTTTAACAAAGATAAATTCTTACTGGAGTGTTAACAGTGAACATAGTTTTAATTTTTCTTTCTTTGCCCACTTATATTTCCTTATTTTGGTGTTATTTGTTGAATAAATATTAAACACCAACTACATACTAAGCAATTTGGTAACAGTGAAAAAAATTGATAATTATCTTGGAGCTTCCTTTCTCTGGGAGACACAATAAACAACATAAAAAAATGGTTAGAAGATTATAAATTATACAGAGAAAAAAGAGTAGAAGGGCAAGGAGCCCCCTGGCAGCCCCCTTTAGTGGTTAAGCTATCAGCTAGCTGTTCCTTAAATGGTTGGCTGTTCAAACCCACTGCTCGCTGGAGAAAGGACAATTTGCTTCTGTAAGTTAGTCTTGGAAACCTTATTGGGCAGTTCTATTGGGGGATATAATGCTGAAGTTTTAGGCAAGGTTTGTTTTTACCTAAGAAAATTGGAGTAGGCTTTATTATAGAAATAATTAACAAGTGCATTTTTTTCTTACAGCTGGGACAGTCAGATGATTTCAGTTCATGAAGCCAAAGCGATACCAAGGCCTCATGGTATTGAATGGAGAAATAAATTCATCTGTATAGAAGGTAGCTTTCTCAACCATGCTTTGTTAATATCCAACTGTCATATTATGGTGAAAGAATTCCTTGAGTAATTTCAGCTTGTATTTCAGTTAAAAGTAATAAATTTTTGGTTA